TTCTGAACAAATGTCTGATTTTCAAACAAACATTTTCCGACTGCCGTTCTGCACTCTTCTCACGTACCACCCAGTCTGTCTTATGAATGCACCTGGCCGCTAGCCTGGCCAGGTTCATTCAAAATCCAAGGAGGGGAAAACAAAAACTAAATTGCAAGGATGAAGACCTCTACCGCAAAATGTCCGCGATGAAGACGATCAACAGCAGCAGGCCTTCATCCCGCACTCACCAAATGTGCAAGACGGGGATGAATCTTCCTCTAGAACATGGGAAGATACACCGCCTACTCGGTGAACAAGTGTCCTCCTCCCCATTTCGATCTTCTCCTGCTCTCTCTCTCTCTCTCTCTCTCTCTCTCTCTCTCTCTCTCACACACACACACACACACACACACACACACACACACACACACACACGCACACACACACACACACACAATGTGCCTCCGCCATGTGAAGCCCAACCTGTGCCACTCACCTAAATGTGCAAAATGAGATCCGAATCTCCCGTAAAAGGCGACCAGGTACTTCTGCCCCGATGGAACCATGCAGAACAACGAGGGATCTTGTCGGCGACCACAGTGAATAGCTTCGGGAGGGGCATGAACATGATGGGTCATACACGGACAAGGACCGCGACGGAAGTCCACTGCCATGGGTCACGCTCCACTACCCACCAAATGTGCAAAATGAGTTGAAATCTTTCGCTGGAATTTGGAAAAATATATTGTCACTCTCCAAAACTCCTATTGCAGCAGCGCAGCCCGTGGAGCGCAGCCCGTGCAGCTTGTACCGACAAACCTGTTGCCTTAAACAGGAATCTGACGACGCCATCTTGTCTGGAGCGCCTCGAAACCCCCGATTAGCATCTTTGTTCTCTTAAAATGGTCAATAAGAGACTGAGATACACGAACTTTTGCTCCCTTCCTATGGCCTTCCCGACACCTCCGCGCACCTCATTTCTCTTCTATCTCCCACTAATTTTCATGTTAATCTGAGAGTAGATTCGGGGTCGTCATGGCCAAAAACCCTATGCTAGCATCTTCCCCCGCTCCTTTCCCTCAAGGAACGAGCAAGAATCACTTTTTCCCTCCCTCTTCCCCTCTTCTCTTCGCCATGCTCTTCTTTTTCTTCGTTTTCTGTTGTTGTCAACCCGATCATGCTCTTCTTCGTTTAGCGTTGCTCCTAGCGCAGCTCTCCACACACGGTCCGTATTCCAAGAACTAGACTCTACTATGGCGCACAGTCATAACTCGCGTTCTTGTGACTCCTGACTTCTACCAATGAGGCAGGCCCTACCAAAGCTCCCAACCCACCAAAAAAATCGGATGAATGTGGCCCTAATCTACCACTTGGTTCGTTCACTCGTCAAAACAAAACAAGAAGCAGAAAAACCGTACTCAACCCTTGGCCTGGGCGCAATAAGATTCAAGCTCAGAAACCTGTATTTTAATGGTTCGAGGGTGTACCAGCTGAGCGAGGCCCATGGTGCCAAGGCACAACCTGAGCCCAGTGGGATCAAACTCGAGCCTGCATTTCTCCAGTTCATGGTCGTATCGAATGAGTTGGGCCAGGCAATGTCAGTCCCAACGAACTTCCGTAGGCGGAAAGACAAAGCCAAGGGCACCAGCCGGCCTAGGAAAAATCAGAATCGTAGCGTTTTACTCATTTGCTTTCAGCGGAGCTCGTACTCAGGTTTGTACTTCAACAGTTCGCAGGTTTATCAAATGAGCTAGGCTCGCCTGCGGCTGTTTCCATAGGCCTATTTTTCACAATCCGCGAGTGTACCAGTATGAGCTAGGTCCTCAGGTGCTGGTCCCACAAGCCTGTCTCGCACAATCCGCGGGTGTACCAGTTTGAGCTAGGTTCACAGGAGCTGGTCCCACAGGCCTGCTCACACCCAACCCTCTCACTTTTCACAGCATGCTGAGGTTAACGGGCGGTGTATCCCCTGGCCATGGCTGCCTAGGCTTCCACCACCCCGCAGGTCCTGGTGCAGATCTTGGCGGTAGTAGCAAATATTCAAATGAGAACTTTGAAAGCCGAAGTGGAGGAAGGGCTCCATGTGAATCCGTTGCTGGCCCAGGGACAACTTGTCGAACAACCAACATTGCGGCAGCCTCTGACTGGCACCCCCTGGCCCCGCCCAGCTCAGGCATAGTTCATCACCTTACGTGTCCTAGCGGGCATGCTCACACTCAAACATGTCACAGCAAACCGTGATTGGAGGATGGTGCGCCCCCAGCGACCCCCGCCACCGAGGTTTCCTTCCGCTTTGTGGGCTAATTACCCACCGGCTCGCATGCACGGTGAACTCCCCGGTCCGAGTATCAAGACGGGCTGACAGAGGAATTTTGCCAGCATCCAGGACACGTCGGAGACCGAGCGGGCCCGTCGAAAGAGGCGCGTGATCAAGGTCCTTGACTGCCGTAATGGACACCCGTGTCCGGCAAAGTAGTAGCCGAGCCAAGCCCGTAGGGTCTGACGTCGGTCTCGGAACCGGTCGCCGGGTGAAAGACATTTGTAAAAATGAAAGTAAGAAAAATAATAATAATCTAGGTTATCAATGGTCCGGAGACCGAATGTCTCCCCCATACGTTCTATACCCCCGTCGTCCGGATTTTCGGACGACGGCTTTTTGGCACTAAATAATATTAAAAAAAAAAAAAATTGACAGTGTTGCGCGTGCCCTAGAGACCCCCCACAAAAATTTTCAGATTTTTATGAGCATTTGGTGATAGGGTGGTATTTGGGGTTGGGGGGGGGGGGGGGGGACGAGGGGACGAGGGGTTTTGGTGGGGATGGGAGGGGTATAGGTGGGGATTAGAATCTTTGAAGATTTTTTAATTTTTATTATTTATTGTACTGGCCCAAATGAGCCAAAAATTTGGTGGCATACACCTTATGCAAGGTGAAAGCCACATGATTTGTTTCTTTTTTTTTTTCTTTTTNGAGAGAGAGAGAGAGAGAGAGAGAGAGAGAGAGAGGTTTGAAGGGTGATAAGATCAAGTGGCGTACGGTGGCAAGATAAAAGATCGGTCTTTCGGTGGGGGGGTGGTTTGGGGGGGGGGGGGGGGGGGGGGGTACGAGGGGTTTTGGTGGGGATAGGAGGGGTATCGGTGGGGATTAAAATCTTTGAAGATTTTTATTGTTTATTCTACTTGCCCAAATGAGCGAAAAATTTGGTGGCATACACCTTATGCAAGGTGAAAGCCACACGATTTTTTTTTTTTTTTTTGCGGTAGGTCGGACATACCCTGTCCGGTCCAACGTCCGACCAGACGTCTGGTCGGACATCCCGAACAGTCAAGGGGGTCCCGGACGTCCGATCAGGTAACCTAGATAATAATAAAATAAATATGAACGCGGGGGAACACAGAAAAATAAGGGGACTAGGGGCCGCATGTCCCGCTGGCCTGCGACGCCACGCCCTGCTAGGCCGAGCATGGTTACGCCTCGTCATCAATACCCCAAGCGCGCCGTTTGCCCGGGCGAGGGCTCAACTCTCATTCACGAGCGCGCCGTCAAATTCGAACGAGGCCGCACCAACGTGACTTGCAAAATGCACACCAAATACCCTTGTAAGGGTATTCAAGTTTGGTACGACAACGCCTTTTTAGATTAGAGAAAAGAAACAAACAAAAAAAGAAAAAGAAAGAAAGACACCGTACCCTCGCCTAATCGGTAGAATGAAATCAATGGAACCAAAGCACTGATGAGTTGGTGTACAGTGGAACCTTTGTGAGATTGTATTACAAAACGAGTTTGCGAAAGAAATGTTTCCTGTGATTTCTTGGACGGAGCAACTTTGTTGACGAGCCCGTGGGATTCAGATGCGAAGCGTCTGCTCTTCAAGAGGAAAAAACTTATTTGATTTTATTAACTCCTACATGTACCTCTAGAACTTGCACAATATCGTGAAGTAGTTGATTTTGCTCAATTTGGCTCAGATCTTGATGCTGCCACTCAATATTTATTAAACTGAGGCACGAGACTAACAAAAGTGGTGTATAACTTACTGAGTATTTAGTATAACTCATGTCTTCGTGTGCATAGTTTGATTGAAGAGGAGCCTCAGCGACTACAAGCGAAGCAACTTTTGTCGCCTCTTAGTGTTGTGCAAATGGCATGGTAAGCGTCGTAGCGTTGTCGGAGCAAACATCCTTAGAAGGGTATTTGCTCATGATTTTGCATACGATACAGTATTGACACCAGTTACCGTGACAAAAGACGGTCTGGAGTGAAAAGTGAGATTTTGACGCCATATCGTGAGACAGATTCCTCGACCACTGAGGCTGAGGCCGTCTTATGACCGCAGGTATTGACACAGCACGTACGGTAGGCAGGTAAGGGTTAGTGGAAATCAAAACCCCTCAGCCGTGACGGTCGGAGTGAAGCACGGACAACAATGACAACGTACTTAGTTAGAAAATAAATTATATTATGACTGAGCATTAAGTACGGCGGGATATGGAAAAATAGCGATGTACTCCGCCATAAAATCGGGAGTAGATTGTAGAATTGATATACGCCAAGACCCTATGGCAAGGGCAGCCAAGAGGGTCGTACTAGCCACCGACCTAGACAGTAAAGGCCGTAGGCCTGCTACACCAACAGAATCGGCCCTGTACTCTACTTATTGCGAGGCTGCCCCCATTCTAACCGGACTAGGGGCTAGCCAGTGGGTACAGGTGCGGATTGATACATTGAAGGTATAGGGATCAAGTCCCTCCGGCCCTCTGGGCAAGTACCTTTTTAAAGAAGATTGCGGTAAGCCCCGCCCATTTGAGCTCCGCAACAGGCCGATAGGGGAGCAGGCTGCCCTCATTGCGCGCAATCCCATTGGGTCTTCTGCGTCGCCCCCTGTTGAGTCTGTTTTCGGTGCTCGTGCAACTATCTTCCGCCCATACCCCAGGGACAATGACTCTGCGGACGAGAGGGAGTCGAAAGCAGCGGACGACTCCCGCGTGAGATTGATGAGTTGCACAAGGGGGGCGACGTGCGTGACGAGAGGACGCACACCGCGCGGAGGGCGGCAAACCAGCGAGATATGGATATGATGGGGGGCGAGGAGTTTTGGGGATCTTTCGCGGGCACGGAGGAGAGATCACCCACTCCCGCGCGGGAGGATACACGTCCTTGCACGACCTTGCGGGAGGAGACGCTTGCTCCCATGACTGCGAGTGAGGAGCCGGGTCCTGCCACGACAGTGCGGGAGCGGACGACTGTTTTGTCGACCGCGCAAGAGCAGACGCCTGCTCCCACGACCACTCGAGAGCAGACGAGTATTCCCGCTATGCATTCCGGACCCTCGTCCCTGTCACCTCTTTCGCATCATTCTATCCCAGGATTCCCAGCATCCACTCCGCCCGCTCCCGTTCGGCATGACGAGCGCTCACCTGCACCGGTTGGGAGGGAGGACTTGGGATCCTCGTTGCGCAGCCGCGGGCATGGATCATTGTTTAGCATAGCCCATCATCTCATTTTGGACCCAGGTGCATCGAGCGACTTGGGGGAGATGGGTGTTCATAGCGGGGCACCACCGATGGAGGAGAGGGAGAGACGAGCGGAGGAGCACGGAGCCGCCGGAGCGGGCGAAGTTGAGGGTATTCGGGCTATGGAGGAGGAGGTAGCTGGAGTAGTGGGGGGCGTGATGGAGGTAGATGATGGTGCGCACGTCCAGAGAGAGGAGGGCGTCCTGCCATCGGAGGTTGAGAGAGAGGACGATGTGGTGAGGATGCAGGAGGCGGGACGATGAGGGAGAGGAGGCTGTGGCAGGGGTAGATGAGAGCGTGGCTGGGGTAGATGATGGTGCTGCCCAGGTTGAGATGGAGGAGGATGTGGTGAGGGCAGATGCTGCTGCGTTGGTTGGGGGAGAGGAGGGTGTGGTAGGGGAGGACGTCGCCCATGGTACAGGAGAGGGAGGCGCCCACCTTGACCCGATCGTCCAGCGTTTCGTTGATGACGAGATGGGTCCCGCACTAGCGGGTTTGACCCCGGGCACGAGGAGGGCACTGGGGGCGTCGCCATCAGGACAGAGGGGGGCGTCAGGGATGGGGATGGGGGATTTCATGGACATGTCTTTGGGGGATCCGCCTACCCCTGCTCACGCAGAGAGAGAGGATGTGGCGCGTGCCCTAGCGGCCGCTGGGTACTCCACACAGGAGATCGAGCAGGCATTTGCAGGACACTCCGGGAGAGAGACAGACTCGCTTCAGCAGGGGTGCGAGGAGGTAGTAGACCATCCATAGGAGGAGCGTGAGGATGCACCCCCTGCGGATATCCACGGAGGTAGTAGTTCGTTGGTACCGTTCACGGGCTTGCAGATGACGACGACGATGCGGCCAGTTCGACCGTGTGTGCAGGGGTCAGGTTCTGGGGAGGAGGCATTTGTTCACGTACCACCGGTCATAGTCGTAGATTTAGGATTTGAGGCAGTTCTTCATACAACGGTTACTGGGCGGCGAGCTCCTCAGGATACAGCTCGCCCATTGGATTTCGCGGAGCTCACACGGGCTGTTGTGCATGACGTGACGCGGCGAGAGGACACCGACCCTAGCAGACCACTTATGCCTCCTCCTCCTTCGAGATCACGTCACAGCGATTCCCCCTCGACACCAGTCGGTCAGCCCCCCCGTTCACCATCCACGCCCACCAGACCCAGGGTTCATGACACGACGGCCGTAGGGAGCCTCCCTCTTGACGCGTCGCTATTCGGGAGGACGGATATCGACCTGGAGTCCGTACGTCGGGTCACAGTGCACACTGCATGACAGCAGCCAGGTTTGGGTGGGGCTAACACCGGGAGGGGTGCGCCGAGGGAGGTCATGGCGGCAGTATCTCAGCCGCGAGATGTTCGCGGGGTTGGACAGGCCGGGTGTACCTTGCAGGCCGCTTTGGCAGCAGCAGCACGTGCTGTGCGTGAGCAGACATCGCGCAGGAGCGGAGTCGCTCGTACGAGTTCCATGCCTCAGATGATGCCTGCCACGGGGGATGCCACGTTGGAGGAGTCTTCTGGAGACGAGGGGTTGGAGATGCCACGCGGTTCTCGTCGTGAGAAGACAGTCGCAGAGGTGACTCAGGTGAGTGCTAGGCTCGTTCGGGTGAGGACGGGGGCTGCCCATGTGACCGTGGTGGAGGACGATCCCGAGACGGAGCCTGCACGTGAGGAGGCCCCACATGAGGGTGACGAGTACAGGGACGACGAGGAGCGTGAGGAGGAGGAGAGCGATAGCGGGGATGATGACAGCTACCACGACGACGACGAGGAGCCCTCCCCTCCACCGCGGCATGGTTCCCGTAGACGACATGGCTCTCGTAGAGGACATGATGACGTAGACGACCCGTCCCCTCCAGGGTGGCGGGAGACGAGGAGTCGGAGGGGGCGAGGGTCATCCGTTGCGACAGCGCTGGGGCGAGGGAGTGTTTCGTCGACACGCAACATGAGTGGGGCGAGGCAGAGAGGCAGTGGTAAGGGGAAGGGAAGTCGGTAGTATTGACAGCTTCGTTCCCCTTCCAGTGCTTCGACGACGCCTTTATGTTGTTTGTGCTTAGTGTTCTGATGTTTTTGTATATTGTTTAGGATGATGTACATATAGTTCGGTTTTAGGGACTTCGGACCAGTTCTTGGACTTCAGCATGCAGGTAGACTGGGTAGTGTCGTCGACAGTGTTTGTTTGTTTCGTTTTTCGGTTTATGTACGGAATTTTCATATTGTTTTTTAGTTATTGGGTTTTTGTTAGAGGTTGGACTTCATTCTAACTTGTTGCTTTACGTAGATGTTTGTTAGGGTTTTATTTTCAGCTTCGTTAGTTAGCGGTGTAGGCTGCATCCCATCGGTGTACGGCCCTGTGCGACTCGGCGCGAGTGTCGACGACACATTGTACCATGTGAGATGTATTTCATATTGGACTCCTCTTCGCCATGACTTTTGTATGACATTTCATGACTTCTTTGTTTTCATTGTAGTTTCATGTTCTTTTATGCGGTTATTCTTGTGTGTGTGTGTGTGTGTGTGTGTGTGTGTGTGTGTGTGTGTGTGCTGTCTCTTATACACATCTAGATGTGTATAAGAGACAGAAGTAAAATAAACTTAACTCAGAAAATACAAGAATTG